GAGAGAGAGAGCTGTGCATGAAGTGTGATTTTATTGTGGTGGAAGCAAAACAGCAAAAGAGGAAATTCATGACGATGATGATGTGAAGCTTAGTTTGGGTCTTCCGTCGTTTTTGGTTGTAGAGAATTGAAACCTGCAGCTTCGGAGTCAAGCGCAAAAAAAGACGTAAACACAAAGCGCGGACCCGCCGACGCATCAGGATCTGTGCGCTGACGGCTTTACGTGCCGTCGGCTGAGAAAGCAGACATCTGTGATGCGTCGGCGCTTTGTGTTTACGTCTTTGTGCAGAATCCGTGTACCTGCTCTGGTTTGCTGTTGTAGCTGTATTTGCGGTTTAACCTGAGATTCTGGCATGTCGGGCAAAATAAATTTACACATAAAAATCGATTCAGGATTTTAATGATAGGCTCCTAACATTTCATCACTCTACAGCCTAAAACGAAAGAGCTCTGATTTCATGCCTGGGGGCAAATATTTTGTCAACTCAAAGCTTGTGTGCTTTGGTTTGGTTAGCCAGAGAAGCCACAGAGCTGCATTTATTAGAGGATGTTGATATAAACGGCAGCGTGCGCGCTGGTTTGCTGCAGTCTTGTAATAAATAGTTACTATACAGTATTTACCTCAAATTGTGTCAGAGTAGAAAGAGTCAGCAGAGAGGAAGACACAGTGCAGTCATTATGCAAAGCAATCATGTATTAAGTAATACATTTTAGTTAATGCGTTTGTTAGCCTGGAAGAAAACATGCTGGACATGGGCTAATGTGAGGCTAATTTACTTTGTAACACAGAGAAGAATAAGACAAATGATCAGCCGGCTGTTATCGATTGTCTGAATGCTTTTAGTGGAAGACGATGTGCTGGCTGCATTTTGTTCCAAGGGAACGAGTCTGAACTGTCAAACTGACCAGATCGTTTCTTTCACTTAATTTGTGACTGCATACTTGACCTAGTTGCCATTTATATCATTTTATATGACAGGTACTCCTGCCAGTTAGATTATGAAGAGACAGATGACCACACAGTGCTATGAGTGTAAAGCTAATGCCAGCAGCTAGCTAACATCTAACAAATGA